TTGAAAAATCAGAAATTGCAACCTGGTAAACCAGACGTGGTGACGACGAGCTGTGTCAGAAATGACGAAACATCCGATCGATGAAACTCTCGTTTCTGTTGTCGCTCTCTCTCTCACACACACACACCTGTCCGCTGTCATGAGGGCGCTGAATCACCCTGTTGAAACATGTTGCCAAAACGGATGTGTGCGTGTATCTGTTTGGGTTTGAAAGCAACGAATACGAACTGTGTAAACAGAATTCACTCACTGTTCAACTGGTCTGAGAAAAGATAAATTGAAGTGTCGGCAAATTCTTTACTGGTTGATTAGTAGCCAGCGATAGACAGGTCATGACTTTCTCCCTCGTACACAGGACAACGAAAATGGGTATTGTTGAAAGGAGGTAAAATTCGTGACGAGATCGCTTAATAACTATCTCCATTGAAGTTGCCATTGATTCGGTATCTTTAACCGATTCACAAGATAAAACTTAACAGGTTTGAATTGATTTGTCATCACAGTGTCGGCACAGAACAGTACAGAACTAGTCAAATAGCACCCAAGCATCCCCGCAGCCAGTTGCTCCATTGTTCGGAAGCTTTTCTCTTTTGAAACCATGTGAAGAGGGGTCGAACTAGGACAATAGGACCATGTGCTACTCGTCTGGATGATCGCGTGAAACACTTGGTCAATGGAACAATTCCATCACCTGTATGATAATGCCCCAAAAGGAAACACTTCAATGTACATTTGCTGGAAGTAGATTAGTGTGTTTAATAAACAGGACTAGTACAAAGTGATAATACATAGTTGAGACAGATGTGACAGCGTTTATAGGTAATCACGACTCCGCAAGCGAAATAAAGAATTGATTACTCAAGACCATCAACAGGGCCTGTGAACGATCAAATGCGTTATTTCAAATTTTACTATTATTAATCAAGGCTTTAGCTTTTGCTTCTGTTACTTGACAATTCATACAGCTGGTGAATGTCCCCAGTGTGACGCTTTTATTTACCACATATTCTGTCAGGTTATGCTCAAACGCTGCTGGATCGATGCAGATTAACAACTGGAGAAGTATGTATACTAGGTGTAAGACCTTTTATTATTCGTTCTTCTTCTCTTGTGCTGCGCTGTGACCTCGAATATGTGCTTAGACAACACACTATACCAATCAAGTGTGCACGACCAGTCTTGGAACGAGAACCACACCTGGTTACCACCCCAACACAAAATCACGATTCACCTTAACGAAAACATGTGGACAGAGTGAACGAATTGCTTGTCTCATCGGTCGGACAACGGTTCAACCACGAGAGAGCGAAACGGCATTGTACTGAACTTATCGTACAACCCTCTATATCGGCAGAATATCCATCGCTGCCGTCGCCACCGCACGCAATTCATCACCTCAAGAGAGCGAACCGGCATCTGGCGTTTGTGCGCACGCACGTGTGTAACAAGGTCAATCGATTGTGTACAGGTAACCGCGTGCCTGGACGTGTTCACGTACACGCACAAGTGCGCGTGTGAACGGATTTGTCACAGGTCTGAGAATACGGAACATCAGACGCGTACCCAGTCCCAGATGTGTCAGATCACACCCGTTGCCACATGGCACATTCGGTACAATGCAAGAATATGGAGCAATACTGGAACGCACAATACACTCTATGTGCAAGTGGATAGTACACATGATCGGATTATTCACCCGGTATGCAACCAATCATGTTTTGTGGGCTGGCCCCTCGCATTAACAGCGGCAGGGTACAGCGTGCAAGAAGCAATGTAACCGTACGGTTTTTGGTGAGAAACAAATTGCACTTCAGGACTGACCTTGGTTCGTGCGCTCGAACTAGCCCCGGCATCCAGTAGCAGACGAATCACTTCCGGATGACCTTCTTTGGCGGCGATATGCATTGCCGTGTACGCGTCCCGGGTGTGCAAATTCGGATCAGCCCGAGCAGAAAGAAGCAATGCAACCAGTTCCACATTTCCGGTGAGCACAGCCATATGCAGCGGGGTTTGATCATCCTGAAACACAGACGGGATCGGACAGAGTACGGATAAGTGAAAGAACGAATGGACGAGCAATGAAACGTATCATACCGATCGCGTGGTTGGCTAATCAAATCAAATGGTCTCCCAAAAAACGCAACCCACTGGTTTGGGTTGTGATATGATGACTTGAGAAACAAAAAGCCATACTCTCCGCAATCCAGTGACTTCCGATCGGACATGCACACAGTCAAACATTTACTCTCTTAGATTGTTGTTTGAATGTGAACAGATCAGTGTTATCGGTGTGGCCTCATAGCTCAGCTGGTAGAGTGTGCGCTGTACAAAAGCGTAGGCGGCGTTCATACGTGGGTACGAATCCCACCGAGGCTACAGAACTTTTCACAATCGACATAAAAATTCACTCTTTTAGTAATTAAGAAAAACACAAGGTGTTCCCTATCTTCTAGGTCCTGGTTTGGGGTTGTACAACACTCAAAACACTCGGTGGGCAGAACACGAATCATCGTAGGCCGTAAAATGGGACTGAACAGTCAAGGGAAAATGATGAGAAATAATAGCAACATATATAACACAAAGGATGGGTAGCTGTCACATTCTTTTCTTAAGAGGGCATTCATGAACCGTGGACCGGAAGAGCAAGAGATACGATCGGGACGTGCATAAACACGTTCTGAAAATAGATCGCCAATGTAACAGGGCAGTGCGAACAAAAATTAGAGCATACCAAGGAAAGCAACACGATTTCAGATAGGGTTACATTAAAGTAGGTAATTGCAAGTGAACACAGAGGAGGAAACAAATTATCGGCAGTCATGGTCCCATTATGAACTGAAATTAGTATCCAGTAAATGAACCTTTTGAAACGAATGGAAAAGACGTACAAACGAGAATCTTACTTAAGGCACAATCCTCTCAAAACATTTTCAACCATGAGCATGAAACACCCTTGCAAATGTTTCAGTTTTTAGTTTTCACAACCATTTACCCGGCATTTTTATGTGCCGGTTTTGTTTGTTGTGTTTTAGCTGCTCATTTGGATACAAGAGCAGAATAATGATTGGAATGTTAAGAGCAGAAACAAAATGAAGATGGAGAGTTCATACTGACTGGAACTGCCGGGAATGATGAGTAGATGCACGAGTGCCACTGCTTGCAATATCCAGCCACTTCACTCAGTGTCCCCATCCAGAAAGCCTAACGATACCTATGTGACCCAGTCTCCTAGTTAGGGTTTTCATACCTTGAAGTTAGGTCTTAGTTTGATCACCCTTAACCTTTTTCCAACTATTTCCTATCTTGGCAAACATCGAACGCCGTGGAAACCCATTTGGTAACATGCGCAACACATGTTCCAACCAGCGTATTCTGTGGAGGTCTACCACTTATTCAAGGGGACAACTACGATTACCCAAAGCCATGACTCTAACCTCAGCATTGCTTTAACGGTTGCCCCACCATACTTGTGCAACGCGGCATAGACAGCGGTGTCCGAACACCGACAATCTATTTTTATCTTGTCCCCGTAATGCCCAATTCTCTGTACCGTATAGCAGAATTGCCCGAACTGCTGCAGCACACACTCGATCCTTCACAGACAGCCGGTAGTGACGGCGCCACAGATATTTCAAGCTGGTAAATGCCAATCCAGTCTTCTGTATGCGATTTGCACTTACACATGTGAAAACAGAACGAGCGGCGGGGTTTTAAGATAGTAATGAGTATCAGGGATTCAGTCAAGCTACGTTTTATGTGACCATGTCGGATAAGAGGAAAACACATGCTCAGATGATGAAATTCAGCATTTCGGTCAAATGCATTTAACATTATGTGACCATCCCGTCAGTTGGTGAACTGTCATATGTGAACCATCGCACACCGTCACCGGTTGCATCCGGTCCGTGTGCCAGACGAGGCAGATCAGTTTCAGTTAGTCTAAATGGGAATGTGCTGAGATTGGGTCAGTTTGTAGCAATATGACGAGGCTGTAGATTGCTATGGAACCATAGCTTACGTATAGAGGATAACTATCAAGCGCGAAATGTTCTATTGTGTCCAAAGTGTGCAAACCCTTCGATGTTAATCGGAGGATGAGCGAAGATGAGGACAGTCTTGAAAGTAAAAACAATCGACCAAAACAAAGCGGTCCATGGCAAATTGGCTCACCCAACACATGTTGCAACCCCACAGAAGGGAGGAGGAGGTGTCCGGATAGATTAGACAGCACCATGGACGACTTGTGAATTAGAAAAAACTTTTCACAAAAGAATGTGAAATGTAGAATAGTTGTTAATTACTTACCTTGGCTTTGGCGTCTACAGTGGCTCCATGAAGGATCAATGCACGAGCTACTTCAACTTGACGATTACGTGCCGCCAGATGCAGAGCAGTTTCCATGCGCATGGTTGCCTGGTCAACAAACGCTCCGTGTTGTAACAACATTTGAACGATTTCGGGGTTCCCGATGAATGCAGCCACGTGTAACGGAGAAAGGCCAGACTGGGAGCAATCGGACAGGGTGGACAAAGAGAAAAGGATTGGATGTGCAACATGATGACAAAAAATGTCGGACATTGTGAACATGAACCCTGTGCTATGGAAGAAATGTGAACAGATGTTGTTCATCATACCAATTTTAGAGTAACACGTTTGCTTTACTATCACGAGGAAAGCACAGTAGCACTGACAATGACGGGTTTACATCACTGGTAAGAATTATCAATATTTGATGAGAGACAAAAGAAAAGACACCGGTATGAAAAGCGTCTTTCCGGTAGCCTGAAACGGTTACGAGAACAATGTGTGTGATGAGGATAACAGAATGAGACGACTGAAAAAATGGAAACATGGTTGTGAAACCTCAAACACTGTAAGGGGTGCATATCCGTCCTGTGAAAGATAACTTCATGTTTGTCATTGGAAACGATGAGACCAAAAGGATACTTTAAACTGTTTGAATGTGCAACGAGTGAAACTCGAGGGGCGCGAGTGAAATCGATGAAATCCGTCAAATGTCAGTAACCAATTCCATCGTAGTTGAAAAACAAAAACACGTTATTGAAAGACTTTCAGCCCCAAATATATCTGAGACTGTAAGGATAGACAGCTTATTTTAATTTTGGCTGTGCAGTGAGAAATCCTTCCGGAAAAGTTGGCGTCCAGAATCGCGGGACGATCGGTGGCATAATTGGTGTATTGTGAGAACCCGTTCTGGTTCCAGTTACGAGTTCCACATATGACTTGAAGGCCCGGTCGTTCTATATCCGGCTTGATCGTATTGCCCTAGGTTTTCAGTTGGCCACCGAGTCGGTAACGTCATCCACGGTAGGGTAAAGAAGCCAGAGCCTGGTGCGAGAGTTGCGCGACTGACAACAGGCAGGAGGTTCCATTTCGCCTGTTCGCCGAGCTTGGCAATTTGTTTGCAAACGTTTCATCACCAGCCAGTGAGGTGACATCATCAGTGCTTGTGAAGTGGCAGTGTTCTGTCTGTACCCGTTCGTTTATATATGCGATCTTCTCCACCGGCTGTTTTCGTCTCCCGTTATCACTGTGTTCGACTCGGTCCGCCGTTGAACTGTTGCGAGCGGGTGGGGTGGGAGGGGAGGAAGTTGTCTTTTCGTCCCGATTGCGGTTTTTGTTCGTTCTCAGTTCACCCGAGTTACGAAAACCGATTTTCAATATTTTGTCAACAGGCCGGAGGTTGTTCACGGTATCCCCAATTACGACGACGACGTCGTCTCCAAACTCGAGGTCAGCGATCCTTGTACTTGGATCAGACTGCCCTCAGGAGTAGTCGGTAAGTACTGGTTGTATTAAAACAACACTAATGATAGGGAACAGCCATACCTGACTTCAGAGCACAGTGTAAGCTCAACTGATTCTTCTCCGTAGGTACGAACTCGTGCCCGGGTTCCTGAATAGCACGACAGTATGGTGGCGTCCAACTGAAGTGGGTTGAAAGCGGTAGGGCTGACGCCCGATGAACCTCCCACCCCCAATCGAGCATTAAATTGAAAGCACGCAGTTCCCTCATATGTTTTCTCATACGGAATGAAGGTCGGCTAGCGGCTGCGGGACGCATCCGCACTACACAGTGGGAGTTGAACACCGTTGTATTACCTTACTCTGGAAGAGTCTGACCGCATGATCATATACGCCCAATACATGCTTTGGGCATATGATTTGCGGAGTATACGAAACGTAGGCTTTAACATATACAAGTGATGAACGATATGAAAGGAAACTGAAAGAGCGTGATGAGAAAATGCGCAGATATGAAGCATAATTCGAAGGCAGATCATAACCGAGATAAGACGTCAAATAAGCTCAGCAGTGCTTTTGTCACAGCCAAGACGTTGATCCCTGCGACCGTTGGATTAGTACATGGACAAACTTTTCCATATGAAGCGTTTTCAATCCATCAAGGGTGTCCAATTGAAACAATTCTTTTGAACTAGGAAGGACCCAGTTTCAGGTCCCCAGTGATGATCCGGTTTTAGTTGCGGTGTTGTTATCGGATAAGACCAACTGATCAGAGGGCTTCTAGGAGTATGATAAGAGACTGAAAAAACAAACAACCTTCTGACGAAAACACCAGTATGGACAACCGTGAACAGTGACCTAATTGGCCATCTGTAGGGAACGGAACTGATTACAGAACTGAGGGTTAATCATTATTCCGGTGTTATTTTCCAATAGTTGCCAAATGACACCGTCAATAAGCTGCTCCCCGAAATCTGAAATCAGATATTTCTTGATCAGACCACTTTCCCGTACATATACGATAATGGGTTTCCTCCCTCCACATTAACAAGCATTCCCCAAATTACCTAACAGTCAATTTTAATACAGCTTACAGGACAGAGAACGTTTCCCAGCAGGGTTTATATCGTAAATCTAGTTCGAACGAACGATTCAGTGGGAAAACTCTATCCTATCATACGCCAAAACTTTCAAACCGAGTAGAAGTATTAGTCCAGATTTTCATCCAACTGGATCATATATAGTTTTTTGAATACGTCAACCGATAAGACCACAATTGTTCAGCTAAACCACCCCTATGATAGAAAAACAGTCACATTGGACTATAATCTGATGACAGGAGTTCGCAAGAGAAGATATCGATTATTTTCGGAATTGTCACATGCATGAATAGATTAAAAATAAGAGGAAAACACAGAACAACACTGATACAAACTAGAACAGTTCGGATTGAGTACAGGCTGTTGTATGCATCCAGACAAAGCCGAGTTTGACACGTTCCGCACAGCGAACTTCCTTTACCCGATCAAAAGTGTCCAACTGGAGCGAACTTTTTAAAAGGGTTAGACCTCATGGATTTAGGCTTGTGGAGAACCTAAAATTCTCAAGTAAACACCGCGTAGCGTGCTAGAATCACATGAATTTCTCTTCATGAAGAAAATATGACACTCAGATTTTTTTCTTTCTTTCTCTCTCTGTGGCTCTTCTCGATCAGTGTGAAATACAAAACGATCATTAAATCAATCGCAACTCCAACCGTTTAGACCGGAGGGAAGTCGCTTGAAAAATACCTGAGTAGCACATGCGTCCGCACTCGCGCATAAAGCACATACATGCAACGAGAGAGTGAGAGGCTACACGGGGCACCACAACGGGTTACATTTCGAACACAGTACGACGCATTCTCATAAATTCAGTGGACCAAGTGTGGCAAGAATACCCTTCACTACAAACTGATAAGATATGAAACCGGTAAATGTGTTGCATTTCGGCACCTGAAACCGAAGGAAAATACCATGGAAACACCCCTGGTAGGGAAAGAGTGACTATTTTGGCACCCATGGTTCACGTGATCAATGATCGATAGATAGATTGCGAAGGTCATCGGACTAAGAGTACACGGATAGCAAGAACGGCGATGAGAGTAAGTGCAATGGACAGGATCAAAGAGTCGGGTCAAGACGGTCGTGTACCGTGAGTAACGGTCGATGGACCAAAGGAACGAATTAAGTTGGACAACAAAATATTCACAAGTGTAACACCTGTCTCTGTCAAATTTTAGTTATTTGAATAACGGCCAACACAAAGGGGGAATCTTTGGGCATTAGAGGAGAGTACGTTTCGTCACCTATGCCGCCGAATTCAGTCAAGTTGGAACACAGTCATATCAATCGGATCCCAGTTACTTCTTGTGTACCACCAGCTTTCACATGCCACTGATACGATACATTACGCAGATGCATTCTAAAGCAAGATGTTTGTTTGGATAGCAGGAGATTGGATACTAGTGGAATCACCAAGTGATCAATGAGGAAAGGAAAGAATGCAGACGCAAACTGAAGGAATCCTATTAGATAACTAACTAGGCAGATTTAAAAAATTCCGATGATGAGTAGTAGTTGTAAGTACGTTCGAATCTCACCATCACCACCGACTGACTTTGGTCATTGTGTTCTATGGTAGTGCTTTGATGGGTCGCTTTCCCCTTTCTGAAAATTGTACCATTATGTATTTAATAAAAAAAGTAAATATGAAAAAAGGATCTGTGCATGATCGATAGATTTCGAATTTTTTAGTTAAAACCATTTTTATTGACTTCGATTACAAATACCATAGCGATGAATGAATGAAGAGATTGACTATTACAGTCAGATGAACCCTGTCATTCTCTTGGAGGAACTAGAAGCTTAAAAATCGTTTCTAAACTGATGAATAGTTTAAAGCTCAAAGGGAACAGAGGCGGTGTTGAGCTGGAAAACTGGAAAGTTGTTCACGGTGCATGGGGACCAAGCATAGATGATCACATAACTCTTAGACAATTTCATTGAGGGAATTCATCATGTATGGCGTAAATGAAGCGTGAGCTGAAAAGCAAGGAAGCACTGTACAGCTGTCTCCAACTGAGCCATAACCACGGAGGCTAGTATTCAGATGAGCGAGGCGCGATGTCTGCAACAGGCTCGCAAAGATGGTTTGTGCTACATCGTGTAACGGGAAAACGAATAACGGTCTGAATGGGTAATATGCTTGCGTTCTACCTTTGAGGTTACAGGTTCGATCCCCAGTTGGGTCGGTGGATTCTCATTGCTGATGAGACCCAAACAGATCGAAACAGTTGTACAGTGCTTCCTAGCTTTTCAGTTCACGCTTCATTTACACTATATGGGGCGAATGCCCTCTATGAAATTGAATCAAGTCTTCCTATTCCCTTAGACGTTTATGTAGAGTTCGCACGTATACTCGAACACGTTCAGAAGCCGTCATCAGTAAGTTACCAAGCGACTTACCCAACGTTCTCCCTCTATCCCGCGGATTTAACAAACATAGATAGTGAAATCAAAATAGTACGTAAGGGTTCACTACACGTCTACAACAGATACGAATATATTCACTTCGCGCAATTTTGTTTTGGAAACACAAAACTCAGCATGACCGACAATTGAACATACACTGTTCCTGCACTGAACATATCACACGCCATTTATGGAAGGAGAGAAATTAAATTACAGAAATGAGATGCAAACGGTGTTAGTTAATCTGCATGAGTTGCTGTTCACGGCGTGTCTTATGCATGATGTTCAGGGTCCGAACCT